TGCAGGAAAATTATACATTAAATGGAGAATGAGTGAGAAAACTGTCTAAATAAGGAGTGGGGTGTCATTGTTTTATGTGGCGTATTTGCACAGGATAACCAAAGTCTGAGATTTTCCTGAAATTTACAGACATCTCCTGAATGTGATATTGAAGTCTGGTTAGTTGTTGTCTATTTAGTTGAACACAGCGTTGAATGGACGTAAAAAAAACATAACAAAATAATAACAATAAACATAAACATCAAGTTGTCCACTTTTTCTGCTCTCCTTTGCTCCTGTGTTACAGCAGGTGCTGTCATCTTCACAGACGACTGACCCCCACCCCACCGCCACGCGCGGGTACGAGTGGTAGCCTATGGATTTTTAGTAAAAACTATAGATTTTTGAGGCTCATTAGACGGTAAACCACCAAAGGGGTTGACACATATGAACACCTTCCCAGCTGGTGAGGGTGCGCGCGCTTGGCGTGAGTTACCAAAGCGTGAGCCTGCTGCGCTACGGCCACAGATCAACTCAGCATCAGCCAGAAGACAAACAGAAAAAAATTATTCTTACCGTACAGTGAGCCACCATTTGCATCCGATTTTGCTTCCTCTCTTCAGTTTTATTTTATAAATTTTTTTATGCCGCATATAATGTGTCGGGCTTTTCCAGGCCGGGACCCAAAAGGTTTTCAACTATGTGACAAAAATATAAAACCAGTTTACAGACTGGACTGAGGTTCTTTTGATCATTTTTAGACTGATCTATTTTCTTATCTGAGGTTAAATGATTTTCAGTCCSGGGGTTCAGTTTCATGATTGTTCGCGTTTTAACAATAAAAACTCAAATAAAAAAAATCTAACAGCGTGTTCACATGCTCCTTACATCCAGAAAACACAACAGAGTCATATTTCTGTGGATTCAACAGTCGACTGAAAAACTTTGCGTGGCTGCTGCACATTCTCACGGCAGGTGAAAAGTGTGCGTATATTAATATTGTCTGCGAAACCGGCCCTTAATCTTTTAGAACAGATCATCCAGCAGTGAAAGCTACCATAAAATATGAGAAAGTTTTATTTTATTTTATTTTTTTCATCAGGATCTGTGCTTTCTGCTTTTCTTAGATTTTGTTGTTTTTATTTTAAGTCTTAGTTACTTTGTTTCTGTTCCTCAGTCAGCAAGCAACTCCTATCGTTCCCTGCTCTCTCTCACCTGTCACCGCTGCAGCCACTTCCCTCATCAGTACACATAGTTGCTTTGCCTTTATTCCCTCGTCAGAGGAGCTTTATGGACTTGATACAACACGTCTGTGGTTGATTTATTTGACTCTGTCATAAAATCAGATTGTTTCCTGGTTTGACTCTGAACTTTAGTCTTTCACTCAGCAGACTTTCAGTGAGATGTCTCGGTGAATTCAACATCTGAAGACAAACGGAGCTGCAGGGATTTCTGGTGAGTTTATTTAAGATAAATGAATCAAATAAAAATCAGTGGTAGTTGAAGAAGTTGCTGCACAATCAAACTCTTCAACATGGTGAGTTTTTTAGACTCTATTTTGGTGCATCAGTTTGAAACTTTTACCTTTGATCAACAAAAAAGAACAGCCAGAGCAGTGTCTGATTATTGTTTGTGATTCAGACTACAATGTTTTCTGTTTCTGAGTCTTTGAGTTTTCTGCCCTGCTGCCTTCACAGAATGCGGGCAGGAAAAAACTATTAATCTTCTCTTCCAGTGATACATCAAGAACGTAAAAAGTCACCATTTGACAGTGATTCACAACTAAAGACTGATAGATTAACAGACAGAACCAAAGATTATTATTTCAAAGAATAATTACAGTGGAACATCCACACACTGTCAGGATATAATATCAGTGTCCAAAGGCCAAACTGAAATGAACGGGGTGATAAGATAGTAAGATGACTGTTAAAGTTTACAGAAGGTCATAAAGCACCTTCAGGCATCAGGAAATTACACCCAAATTGAACCAGACTTGTGCAGGTCCACAATTCTCTTCCNAGGAGCTTTATGGACTTGATACAACACGTCTGTGGTTGATTTATTTGACTCTGTCATAAAATCAGATTGTTTCCTGGTTTGACTCTGAACTTTAGTCTTTCACTCAGCAGACTTTCAGTGAGATGTCTCGGTGAATTCAACATCTGAAGACAAACGGAGCTGCAGGGATTTCTGGTGAGTTTATTTAAGATAAATGAATCAAATAAAAATCAGTGGTAGTTGAAGAAGTTGCTGCACAATCAAACTCTTCAACATGGTGAGTTTTTTAGACTCTATTTTGGTGCATCAGTTTGAAACTTTTACCTTTGATCAACAAAAAAGAACAGCCAGAGCAGTGTCTGATTATTGTTTGTGATTCAGACTACAATGTTTTCTG